ATGCAATCATCCATCTAGTGTTAGATGGCGGTGCATCAATCAAACATAAACTCCCATTATAAATCTGCCCCAACACCACCAGAACAGCTCAAAACATCTGACTTCAGTGTCAATATAAGTGTTTCCTGGCCTGAGGAAACACAGAGGCCATTAAATCATGTCGGTACAGCAGTCTTGGTAAAATTATTTTGCTACAATATTTTGATCACATATGAACAACACCCCCCTTCCTGCTCTGTGAAGGCAGCGTCTGTGTTTGATGTTAGTGGGAATCTGTGGTTTTCCTCCCTCGCTGCCTCCCACAAACTCCCAGGAATGTCTCTCCAGCCTCTGGTCAAGCTCTGGACAAGTATCATTAAACATCCCTCTCCTGCAGCGGCGTGGAGAACCGTTAACTGCACACGAGGAGCTCCGCACAGCACAGTGCAATAAACTGTTAATGCTGTTAGCGATGGAAAAAGACGGGGAGGAGGAGGAACGCGGCGCGAGGAGTTCTGGGGAAGTAAAGTAGAGTGAAAACAAGCAGACGGCCACAAAGAGGCCCACTTACTCACGCAAATGCTGAGTAGAGAAAAAGAAATACATGAGGGATGTGTTGGATTATCTGGATTTGGATTTAGCAGCATGGTCTACAGTTGTTGGTATATTTGGCTGAAGCAGGAAGAATCAACTATGTGTGTGCATATCCATTTATTTAATTAAATAAAATTTTTTCCTTACTTTTATTGCACTTAATTCATAAGTTAGTACAACCAGGAAGGTTGGAAGGAACAAAAAGAGTAATTACATATTCAGCTAAACATATACACATGGATGCACACAGATATTTGTAGGTAACCTATATACATAGATTCATACCTGCTCATGGATATAGTTACTCTCCCTTATAGATATAGATTATTATTTTATTATATATTAAAGGTCCCGTATTTAACACTTTTCCTGTGTTTTATTTGAAGTGTTGATCCATAAGAAGGTTTTAAGAATCAGAAACTGTCTCTGTAGTTTTACATCTCCTCTCTCAGGCTTCTCTCTGGAGCTCTAGCAACAACAGGTCGGTGAGCCAATCAGAAGAGAGGAGGCTCTGACTCCCTCTTCTGATTGGCTGACTGTTTTCCAAGTGATCAAATAAAATTGTAGCAGATTTCAGGTAAACACTCAGAGAAACCAAATCCTGCAGGGTTGGATGGTGGGTCTGGGTGGGCGGGGTTTGGTCTTGGCTGACAGTGGTGACTGCTTTGTTGTGACATCACAAAGTTCCAGAAGTCCTGACGGCTGGTTTTAAGGCTCAGTCTCTGAATACAGGCTGTGTGCATTTCTCTGTGGACTGAGGCTTTGATACTTTCACAGTATTAATATAGAAGCTAGTCCTGATCTATAATCACACTACACATGGACATCTACTTTTAGACCATATGGGACCTTTAAGATAACGTAGTTTAACTGAAGATAACTGGAAATATGTGTGCACTGGTTTTCCCAAAATCTACCTCTTTTGTTTTTAAGTAATTTCCTAAGTTAATGAATGGCCTCTTATCTCATCCACTTAAACCAACAACTTTTATACTTTGTCTCTTCATTTCCTACTATAAGTTATTCTTTCCAGTTCTTAGATGTACAGTTTACCTTGCATCTTTGAACTGATGGACATGAGGGATTCAGCCAGTTCTTAGTGATCTGCTTCAGGGCTGCGATTCTGTTTTCTATATTAATACTGATCCGTTTCCTGCACTTCCTGGTTGTTTTTTTTTACCTGCTATGACTCAAGACCAACATGAGTTTAAAAAAGGGGAGAAACTAATATCGATTCATTTTTGTCTGATAGTTTCTGATGACAGTGTTGCTGGGCTGCACATGTAACACACACTATATGCTGATAGAAGTCAAAGGCCTGCAGCTTTGTGTGTGGTGGATGTGTGATTGTGCAGGTCAGGGTGTTTATGTAAACGCTGTGTGAGTTCTAGCTGAGGGGTGGGGACGGCCCATGTATCCGTGTTAGAGGGGAGCGTTCAGGGGCCCCTTCCCTCCTTAAAGAAGTTGCGTGACAGGACTGGACTGACGGGGTGGGAGAGGCCATATCCTGGGATTTTCCTGTAGTGGCCGTCCAGATAAGGGAAGCACTCTTGTCGGCTATTGCTTACAAAAAACCCCCCAGGGACCGATGCAAGAGGACCGAGTGTGTTTGTGTGTGTTTTTTCTGTGTATGTGTTATGTGTGTGCGGATATGCAGGCTGCCAGATCAGTTTTCCAGCAATGAGAAAACCTGCCTTCTGGCCGGGCACCAACAATTGAAGCTCGACCAAGCCAGAGAGCTGGCTTTGCTTATTCTGCTGCGCACTCATGATCTCACATCCAGATTATTTATAGATCCACAAAAGGACACAGGGATGTGAGAATGCAGTCTGCATAGCAAAAGGTATCACACCTGAGCAAAGTCATTCAGTCATTCAGCTTATGAACGACAAAAAACAACACAAGTATAAATAAATAGATAAATGTGCAGAAATAAATAATTAAATAGATAAATAAATGCAAAATAAATACATTTTGGTAACGAAAGATGCTACATTTATTTATTTATGTGTCCGTGTGTTAATTAGGTAGGCGGTGCCACCTCAGTCTAAAGCCTGATCGGTTATAGTGGTGTGATCGATCAGATGGATCTACTACTTCTGCCTTGACTTGACTGAAACACAGGAGCTTTAGCTTGCTACTACATTACCAAAATATATTTATTCTGCATTTATTTATGTGTTTAATTATTTATTTCTACATTCATTTATTTAGTTATGTATACTTCTGTTATTTTTTTTGTCCTTCACAGGATTTAATCGTCATACAAGCATGTATAAGAATTCAGGATAAATCTTGACTTGTTCATGATAACCAGTTTCAGAATGGAACGAAGTGCATGAGCTGCTGCTGCAGGGTTATCTTCACCAACTTCTACTTTTATTTGCATATTTTTGCATCACGTTCGGGATCGTGAATGGCAGCACAGACGTGTTCGACCATTTCAACCATAAATACGAAAATTGATTCTCATGTTTCACAATACAACTCTTCAGAATTTGAGAAGATCTCTAAACGTGACATGACACGGTGGGTGTGAGGTGATGCAAATGTAGGAACAATAACCATTGTACTTGGTGCAGACTGTCTTTTGATTAAGTGGGGAAACGTCTGCCCACACTTGAGCTTTGGTTATCTGTTTATCACACTCACACATCTCCCTAATATAAAAAAAAACAGCAGAGACGTTGCCAAGTCTCTCGTAATCCCTTACCTGGAAATGGTTGTCTAATCCGTCTTTGTTCTCTGGCTGCCATGTGTCTGACACTCGGCAAATCACATGAATGCGAGTGGTGTCCTGTTACATCAGGTTCTTTAAGTCACAGGATAGGAGTATGTTATAGTAACTTATACAATTACATTTCCAACGTGACCCAATTGTTTAATTCTTCAGAGGACTTAATAAAGGCTGAATGTAGTTTACTCTCAAAGTGTATGTTATTTGACATTTTGCCAGGTTGACTATATAAAGGACCCATTGTAGATTTCCCATTCAGAAAGTATTCAGACCTCATGCTAAAGTCATTTAAATTCATTTTTCCTTCATCAATCTACACTCAATACCTGAAAGATGATATTTCAGTTTTTCCTTTTCAGGGAATTTGCAGAATGAGTGTTGAGTGTAAATTGATGAGCGAAACAATAGATTTAAACAACTTTATCATGAGGCTGCCTACATGACAAAATGTGAAAGAAGTGAAGGGGGTCTGAATACTTTCTGAATGCACTGTAATCAGTCACAGTTTAGAGATCAGGGTAAGATCTTCCATAACTTTGCTGCAGTAGTTTATGACTTAAATAATGCAAATATATATATACTTAATTTCAGTGGAATAGCAACAATGACACATGTCAGACATTATTTATATCTTAGTACTGCCTGCATGTGGTTATGGCTCTGAACTTCGTTAGCGTCAGTGATGATTGATAAGAGGCCGGCCTAAGAAAAGACGTTCAGATAATATTGAGGAGGAGATAATATTGAAATTCACAGGGAGTCACTTTTGGAACTGCGAGTTTTTAATAGAGTTGTTGAAATTAACTGTAGTGACCTGCTCATCCCCTGATTCAACATGAGTGGAATAATAACCATCGAACAATAGCATTTCAGATCATTTCATCAGGAGGAATTTATTATTATAATAAAGGCTGCTGGACTAAAGTGCGGGTTTGTGAACTGGCCTTTTTGAAAATTTCTGGAAAATAAAAATGACTTTGAAAAAGACAATTTAATGCCGTCAGTGAAACAACACAGGACTCACCAATGCCCAACAAAGGACATCACTCAGGGAAGAACTGTTATTGTTGAAGCTTTGACTATTACTCCACTTGGTTATTAAACATCCGACAGATAATTCAAGGTCAGGAGACGAGGTCTACCATTAGAGAGTGAAGTAAATCAGCAGGAGAAGCAGTCTGACAGTTTAACTATATATTACAAACCAAATTATTAAAACTAAGTGAAAGTGAAGGTGAGCGTTCAATTGACAATCCAAGCTGCCAGCTCTAAGTGTCAGTTAGGTTTTGTAGAGCTAAGTAATGGTTCAACTTTGACCTGCTGTACTTACCGTAGTTGTGTGTGTTTGCAGTCTTTCAGAAAATGTGGTTAAAATGTGGATTTTTTGCACAATCAGTTTCTCATGCAGTACAATTGTGACTCAGTTCCCAGATCTCAGTCACTTCTGTTTCTTAAAAAAAAAAAAAAATGATTCTGAATATTCCTTTTAACATCCGCAAGGGGTCTGACGTGAAGCACCGAGGCCTTTCATCACTTTAAATCCCTCTTACATCCCTGTCAGTCACACAAAGTCGATGTAGCTGAGGGATATTATTTATGTCCTCGCTTCAAATTCTGAAAACCTCTTTCATGTTAATGTTAATGCTACCTCTGCTGATTCCCCCTCTCTGTTTTCTCACCTTGTGCGCAGCGACCACGAAGAACAGCGGCAGCAGTCTGACGTTTCCTGGACTGAACGGACACAACGGGAACAATGTGGACACGGCGGGCTTCTCTGAAGGGGACCTGCTGCTCCAGGTACCAGACAGGAATGAGTTACCAGCTGTAAATGCATCTTAAAGCATCACATTTGTACATTTAAACATTTAGTATTTATTGCCTCTAACGCCTCTGTACACTGTCACACCAAGTTTAGGACTTTGGTTTTACAGCAAGCAGCAAGTCTTACCTGTAGGTGTTTTGGATTTATTTCTAACTCCAACCAGCAGCACCTGTGAAACCGCCAGCTGTCATAATGATAAATTAAAGCCAGGCACTCTAAAAAATATTGTAATTACACCTTTAAACAGTCTGACTGAATCTTTCTGCTGCTGGCTGAGGACACAGTCTCATGGCCTGATTGATTACTGAGCAGCCTGAGGCTAGCAGGTGCATAAATACCTAGTCAGGCTTTGTTTATTTGCACGCTGGTAGTGTTGTGTCGAGCTAATCCAGGTCTATCCATCCAGGAGGAAGTTGTGACAGGTGACGCTGCTCACCTTGGTGCCTGTTGCCAAAAGCCCCGGCCATGCTTTTGTGACTTTTAACAAAACCTTGTTTATTGACGATCACCTGTCATGTACTTTTCACACTTTGCTTTGCAAAATAATCACAACAGGAGGTGATTATACAAAAGGACCTGTGAGAAGCAGCTGTTGACGTTATTGTGGATTATAAGCAGACAGCAGGATTTACAAAGCACAAACTGAGAAATGGCTTTTATTTATAATATTTAATTTTGACAGAATGAGACCTAATTTGTGTTTATACTTATCCATATCTACTGAATATTTGACTATTAAAAACTGGTGAAAAGTGGATTATACAAACATCTTGTGCGAGTCAGATTTATGGCTTTTATTCCTCTGAGGATTGTGGCTGATCTGCAGTAATCAGTTGGTCTATGTTGTTTATTTTCTCTCAATTTTTCCCTTCACTTTGTGTTAGTGGAAACATATTCAGAGCCGACCTTGCCACCAGAGGACCCTGTTTACTGTAAACTCTGATAAACAGTGTCCTCTGACAGCAGCAAACACTAATGACTATTTGATGCATGTGGAAATAAAATCCAGAATAAAATCAGTTTAACCTTTCACTGCTCGCCTGCTAGCACTCATATCCCATAACAACGTATTTGTCAGATAAGACGAGATATTTTGGGGGTATTTGTGTCTTGATAACTGCTGTGCATGCATGTGTGCACTATATGTGCATGCACTTTAAAGCTACTTGAAGGAACCTGTGTGTGTGTGTGTGTGCTGTCTGACTCTCTGTTTTCCTGTGCAGGCGCTGAACGGGTTTGTGATGGTGGTCACGTCGGAGGGATTGGTGTTTTATACCTCTCCCACGATCAAGGACTACCTGGGCTTCCATCAGGTGAGCTGCTGGCATTCTTCAAGCACTTTAATGTTAGATTCAAAATTCTTTTTTGTTAATGTCAAATATTTCATCCCTCTTAGACTTGAAATGTGGCTGTTAACAGTTGGTATTTTCCTCCTTTGAATTCATGTCGGTGACAATCAACAGAGGAGTGATAAGAGGAGGTGGGGAGCGCTGGTGTGTCTGTGAGGGCGATAGCTCATGATTCACATAATTCTCATTTTCATCAAACCACGCAGAATATGGAAGCATGTGCATTTTTCCACATAGTCATTTTGTCACCCACAGGTTTTCACAACATGATCAAACTCCTTATAAACCAATACTGAGCACTGAGTCGTTTCATGTGTTCAGTATGTTTCTAAACACTCGTGGCTTAGCCAGGTTTAGTGCAGCCTGAAGTGGTACACACCTCATGTCCACAGGTTATTGAATTGTTGATAAAGTGTTGTGTTCCCTCCTCTGCCCACAGTCAGATGTGGTTCACCAGAGCGTGTTTGAGCTCATCCATACTGACGACCGAACCATGTTCAGACAGCAGCTCCACTTTGCTCTAAACCCCCCGTCTGTTGACCTGGATGGAGACGGTGCGTATGATGTTGGTGCTTATGAATGGGAAAATAAAGCTTTTTTTTTATTTTTTTTTTTTATTCATGTTTTAAACATGTTTTTATCTCTGTGTTCTCAGTCCTGCAGAGTTGTGGTAACACAGTGATGTACAGTCCGGAGCAGCTCCCCCCAGAGAACTCTTCCTTCCTGGAGAGGGGCTTCGTGTGTCGCTTCCGCTGCCTCCTGGACAACTCCTCTGGCTTCCTGGTTAATACAATACTTTACATTAAACTGTCAAAAACAGCCAATAATGACATCTGATCCAACAACATCTGATGCAGCTCCTATTAAATACTGGGGGCCAATTCAACAAACTAAAACAATGTTTTTGCCATGTTACATCTTTCACAGTCTCCCCCTTTGATTTTTGATTTTTTTCTTCCCTGAACCAGGCTCTGAAATTCCAGGGGCGACTGAAGTACCTCCACGGCCAGAGTGTTTTGAGGGACAACAGGACATGTAACAAACCTCAGCTGGCACTGTTCACCATCGCTATGCCTGTTCAGCCTCCGTCGATTGTGGAGATCAGAGCGAAAATGCTCCTCTTTCAAACCAAGCACAAGCTGGACTTCACACCCACGGCCATCGATAGCAGGTACAACAGATTCTCCCTTTCTGACTTTGTTATGCTCCATTTCAAAACACCATCTTCCAGCTTGACTATTGGCATATTTTGCTTGTTATTTATTTCTTATTCCAGCTGCATAAACTTTAAGGTTTTTTTTCTCTCTCTCTCTCTCCAGGGGGAAGATCGTTCTGGGCTACTCAGAGACTGAACTGTGTATGAAAGGCTCCGGCTACCAGTTCATCCACGCAGCTGATATGATGTACTGCGCCGACAACCACATCCGCAGTATGTTGGCAATTTCAACATGACTTCCACTTTAAATATTAATGTTATTTGCTGTTTGTGGGAGATGCAAAAACACATTAACATTGTTTGTTTGATGCAGGAGGTAAAAAAAACAAAAGTGTGTGCATCTACCTTTCTATTGTAAATAGAAAGGCCAGTTGATAATAATAATAATAATAATAATAATAATAATTAGTACAATAAAATAAGGGCGAATAGAAGCACAATGAAATCAGACAATAGAAAGACAGTAGATGATAAAATATGTGAATGAAAATAAAAACAGAAACCAGTAAGAATAGTAGAGTGTGAGTATCTCTCACAGCTGATATTCCATAGTTTTAAAAAAGCTGCACTGCCTATTTTCTTGTGTGTAAAATGAGTGTGTATTTAAAAGCCTGGCAGTAGAAGATCTAAGTGAAGGATTATAAAACAACAGAGAACCTAAATGTAGGCCTGTCCCAAACCAAAGCTTTAAAAACAAGTAAAAGGACCTTAAAATCTATTCTGAAAGATACTTGGAGCCACTGCAGTGGAGCTAAAACCGGGGTAACGTGTTGTTGTGTGTGTTGTGTTTATCACAGTGATTAAAACAGGAGAGAGCGGGATGACTGTCTTCAGGCTCCTGAGTAAGTCCAGTGGCTGGGTGTGGGTGAAGGCCAACGCCAAGCTGATCTACAAAGGAGGACGACCTGATTTTATCATCGCGTATCAGAAAGTTTTAGTGTGAGTGTTTTTTTTTAACGTCTCCGTCGGAAAGTGTGTGTGAGCTGCTGAAATTAGAAGATAGATGAAAAAACACGTGTAAGGTAACGTACTTATTTGGTCTCTTTCAGCAACACGGAGGGTGAGGACCATCTGCGCCAGAGGAGGCTGCAGGTTCCCTTCAACTTCACCACAGGAGAGGGCGTCCTCTACAACACCGGCCCCAACATGGACGTCACACAGCTTCAGTTCAACAAAATGTATAGCAACAATGACGTGAACAAGGATGAGACCCCCCGCTCTTTGCTGGACTGCTTCCTGAGGCAGGATGAAACAGCCTACACCCAGACAGTGGACCCGCCCTTACCTGTGGATCAGGTGTTCATGGACACCCGGGCCCTGGTCAGCATTGCCAGTGACACGTGGCAGGAAAATGGAGCTCTGGTCACCACAGGCGACCCTGCTGTGATGAAAGACGAGGCCAAGCAGTCGGTGATGGCCGTGATTGACAACTTTGAGAAAATGGCTCAAAATGGCGACTTCAGTGCAGCGCTGCAGAATCTGGAGATGGACGACGCGGAGCTGATCGAGTGGGAAAACGCTCTCAGGAGAGTAAGTCAGGAGGAGGATCACCAGAACAGTGTCAGGTCTGAGCTGGACGGCATCCTCACAAATGACATATTTGATTACATTGATACGGTTTTGTTCAAGGAGAAGGGACAGGACTGTCTGAACTCCAGCCCCCCCTCCTGCCTCACAGCTGGCAACAATAACCAGCACGACCCCTTCACTCAGGCTGCCCACTTCTCAGCCACTCAGCTCTGTGAGCCGCAGTTGTTTCCAACACCGAGCCCCGATCAGACTTTCTCTCCCATGAATGGAGTCTATGCCCACCAGCAGGATACAGGGCAGGGCTTATTAGAGTCTCAGATATTCAGTAGCACCCAGAAACTCTCCCACCAAGGTCCCCTAATTGCTCCTGCTGACACCAACCTGCCCCCTCTTCAGCAGCTGCAGCTCCAGGACATTTTCAGTCCTTCGATAGAGCTCCCGGAGCTCGCTCTCCCCGGCGCCTCGGCTGATGATCCCTTAGCCCCTTTTCAGTCCTGTGGGCAGGTTCCCATCAGCCACTTGGGCTGCCCTCAGGGGATTTCTGGACAGACGCAGTCCAGCCAACGTCTGCTGTGTCCTCAAAACAACTTGCAAGCTCCTGCAATGGCAGCAAACGGACAGCTGCTGCAGAGCTCTGTTAAACAACCAAACAATCTAACACCTGGCGTAATGGACATTTTGCCACCGCTGATTCCTTGTAATGACTTAAGTTCCTCTACTACTCCTAATATTCCCATTCCCTTTGCCACAGCTTGTCTGCAGGGAAGCTCCCCTATGGAAACACACAACCACCAGCTTCAGCAGTGGCCGCAGAGCCAGCAACAGAAGCTGCCTCACGCTGGCATCATGCAGAACGGACATGAGCCGATGCCAGCGTGTCATAGCCAAACTTCAGAAAGCCAAACATTCCCACACACTGGCCTTTGGCCAAGGAGTGTCACCAGACTGAACCACACTCAGCAGGGGGGGCTGGCATGTGGCCAGGCAGCTACTCACAGCAGCTGCATGTTCGACCAGCACTTTTCTTCCAGTCCAGCAGGGGGCGACATGCTGGCTCTCTCTGGGTCCTCCGGCCTGAGAGAGGCGGACACGTCCATGGAGCAGACTCTGCAGGGTTCCTGCTGCTTCCAGTGGCGGCGCTGTGAGCCTGTGGCGGGCACATCAGCCATGAACCAGGAGAACGGCAACATCATGTTCCCCTCAGAGCACACACTCAACATTCAGCACTACCTGGACAACAGACAGACACAGGTGAACAAGTCCCACTGTGGGCGGGAAATTTCACTTGAAGAGAAAATGAAAAAAAAAAAGAATGATGACAATTATTTTCAGGCCATAATTAAATATATTATCACAATATATATAATATAATATATTTTCAGATTGATTGTTTTGTCTATTTATTCTATTTACAATAAAATAAAAGTTGGAGGTGGAAAATATGTGGCACTTTTGATTAATAAATGACTGAGTTGATTAATCAATTGTCAAAATAGTTGATTAATTTTCTGTCAAATGACTAATTAGTTACTTGACTAGTTGTTTTCTCACATAAATTGTAATAAAAGAAAACCGAAAAATAAAACCAAAAACTGATTTTATTTTAAAATGACCTTTATCAATTTGCATCTTCTTTATAATATTATGGCTTAACTATCACTCGTCACAAACAGCTGTTTTACATTTAGTGTTTTGATTTTCTACCTGTGTGAAATCCTCCTGTGTCTGCTTCCTTTAACTGTGTTTTATTCTCTTCTCTGTTCAGCAGGATTAAAGACTTTCAGCTGAACTCCTGCTCGAGATGCAGCCGCGCACCTGACGGAGCAGAGCCGAGTCCTGTCGTCACTGCTGCTGCAGCAGAAGGACAAAACACAGTATAGTTTGCCTGTATCAGTGCTTATCCTCAGACGCTTATTGTTTTGTATCACTCTCTGTCATATTTACTTCGTCCAGTCTGTACAATGTTTAAATGCTGTTGCTCGTCAGTTCCTAGTGAAGATACACTATAATAATAATGATAATAATAATAATGATGATAATAATGAAGTATAAAGCCGCGAGTGCGTGTGACAGGATGGAGCTTGAGCCGGCTATGAGGCCCGGTCAGGTGAATCCAAAGAGCCAAAGAAATATGTTTTTATAAGGGAAACCTTCAGCCAGGGTCATCCATTTATTTCCCAGATTTAGATACAAAAAAGAAAAAACTGAATAATAGAATCAGTCTAAACTTTGACGCTGACAAATAGAGACTTTTTTAAATGGAAGTTGTCATTATCAATGTAAAAATGAGCATAAAGAATCCTTGAAAAACACAGCAGTGCCATCAAATTCATAATATTGCAGATAATAATCTGTATATTTTAAATGAAATCCTTAAATGAGTTTGATGTAAGTGTATAAATCCAATCTATAATTATACTGTATATCATATTTGTTTCACTAGAAGGTCTCGTATGTACAGAACGCATCAACGCCTGATACATGTGTTTATCTGTGTGCAGTATAAATGGAGAAAACAGAGTCAGAGACCAACAGTTAACACGTCAGGAAACAACAAAAACCTTGGTTGGCAGCAGACTTCCCAAACTCTGAGGGTCAGGTTTACTCTGCTTGCTGCAACTGTCAGGGATGAAACATTCTGATTCACTGCGTTATTATTTCCATTTCAGTGAAGTATTTACTAAAACTGAAAATAAGCAATCGCTGCAGTCGAGTTTATTTGATTGCACTGCTGCTAATTAAGACCTGTACTTGTTTTGTTGTGTTCTGTAAAGCAATGCTGCGAATGCATACAGTAAGTCCTGCGCCAGTTAGCTCTGAGAAATCAGCCCGTTAAGAATCACGTAATCTGTAATCAGATTTATACTGAGACTCGCACTGGTCTGCACCTCGCTGTGTGTGTGTGTGTGTGTGTGTGTGTGTGTGTGTGTGTGTGTGTGTGTGTGTGTGTGTGTGTGTGTGTGTGTGTGTGTGTGTGTGTGTTCTCAACTGAAACTGAAGAAACCAGTTCACATGTTTTAGATCAGCGATCATGCATTTATCTCAACAAAATGCTCAGTGATGGCAGTAGATGCTCGTATGGTCTCAAAGAAAACACTGATGAGGTTTTCGGGCTTGTTGATGAAAGCTGTGTCCACATTCAGGGGTCACCTCTTTTGAATGATGCAACCAGCAAAAGTGGGTTCATTCTAACAGTTACACACAACGTATGGTGCGTTCAGGCACTCTTGTAATTTAGAACCTTCAAATTTCTCACCGCAGGCCCTCAAATGGAAAATGAAGTGATAAAACCCAGTGGTCAAATTAACTGGCAGGCGTTCAGTGACACCTGGTTTTATAGTACAAGTTTCCGTAAAAACATATGTGTGAAGTGGTGAACAATGTAGCAGCTTAGAGATAATATATTATAAGTATATAATAAGGATTTTTCACTCGATTACTTTTATTTCATTGTTGTACATCATGTGATGTATTTTCCAATCACCTATAACCAACAGAGTGCCGATACGTGATAAATAAAATGTGTAACTGACTTTACAATATTGAGGACAGCCTGAATCCACTGTCCAACAAATGATGGATAGACTTCTTTGACTAGTCAGCCTGTTATGTTGTTGACTTCAAAGGATGAATCCCTGAACCGTGACACAGCCGATAAATAAAAACCGCCTCCGTACACACAACTCTGCTGCAAGTTTTACACCTGCTTCTCAGAGGCACTCAGGCAAAAGATGCAGGTGAATGAATTTGCAGCAGAATTCATAGATTTCTATTCCCCCCCCATATTTTATGATCTTTTGTGGGAACAAACCCACACTGAGCCGTATACAGTAAAATCCCTATAATTGTTCTTGTGCCTTCTTGCTAAATAGGCAGCTGAAAAGTATCTTCATATAAATGTGTCTGTGCCTTCCTGTATAAAGCATCTTATAATAATGTTTTCCTCAGTAGCTCTTCTCCCATTAGAGGTGCACTAATTTAAGGGAAGCCGCATCCATAGTACTGTCCTCTCTGTAAATGAATAAGATTGTATCCTTAAGTGCATTTCAAGGCTCTGAGGAATTCCTTCAAGTCCATTTTTTCCATTCACACAAACGTCCCTAACAATGGAAACAAGGGAAGACTTCAGTCGTGACACGTGTCCGCAGAGATATTAAACGTGTTTTCATTAATGAACAGAATGAAAAGAGTATTTCAAGAATGTGTCTCACAGTGCATCCGGATCATATTTACTTTGATGTGTCTGTTTCCTGTTTACGCTCTTCAGTCTTCAGTTGTGGTTCCTTTTTTATTTTTTATTTTTTATTATTATTATTATCTCATTCTCACCAGATGTTTGTAATATCCACACTACAAAAACAACATTAAAGGTTTCAGATTAACGTGAGCAAGGACAGCATTAACGTGGCAGCATTACTGTACTCCTGCTGCACTGTGGGAAATCACTCAGTATTTTACCTTTCCTTAAGAAACTATTGTTGGAAATACCATTGAAAATTTATTTTTTTAGAAAGTGATATCTTAAAGGAAAAGAACCTAAAAGTCTTTGGGCACAGGTTAATCTGACCTTCTCTCTGTCCTGGCTCCTCATTGTTCTGTTGTGGTGGAGACGTCCCTCTCCCTCCTGCAGAGGACCTCAGCGTCAGTCAAACCGTGGAGACTAAAAGGACAGCTTATAAATGATGTTGGACTTTGATACAGACATGTCATGACCAGAAGCCACTATGAAAAACCTGGAGCCAAATGTTTTCTTCACAGCGTTGTTGATATTTTTTAAACTAACATGTGCCTGGACAGTTTGCCATATTTCTGTTGTTTGTTTCAAAAAAAAAAGAAAAAAAATCACAACTATTCACTTCATTGTAATCCACTTTTATTTAGCCAAGTAGTTATACTATCCATATCATAATATATGTTAAACAAATAACCAGTTAAATGCTTTTTCATAAATACATGTGTGCAATGATTAAAACTGTGTTTGGCTCATTTTATTATAAAGCTAGTGTTGGGGATCAGGTTTCATTTTCATGTGTGGGTTAATTTAAAGGGACCCACGTCCCAGAAATCCTGCAAGGTTTGGATGGTGGGTCCAGGTGGGCGGGGCTTGGTGACTGCTTTGTTGTGACATCACAAAGTTCCAGAAGTCCTGTCGGCTGGTTTTAAGGCTCAGCTTCTGAATACAGGCTGTGTGCATTTCTCTGTGGACTGAGGCTTTGATACTTTCACAGTATTAATATAGAAGCTAGACAAAGGTGAAACTTTACTGGTGTGAAGGGAAATTTGGAAATTTGGGCAGTGACAGATACAATCACAAATCTTTATTTAAAGACCTTTCTCTTCCCTTTGTCAGACCTTAAACTTCATCTTTAGGTTGGAGGAGACATGATCTCTCTGCTCATGGCGCTTGTTAATAAAAGCCTTGTTTCCTGTCCTCCCTCACGTCCACTTGTCTCCTGTTAGGAGGCGACCCGGGACAAGAGACACAGGCAAACAGAAGTGGGTCAGTTGTTTGCTTATGTCATGAAAGGCTGAGTCCGTTTCAGATGAAGTGGTCTGATCACAAACACAGAAGTGTGACAGTGTTCATTCTTATCTCTACTCTATTGAACACAGCAGAGCAGCAACTGAAAGGCACAACAAATGTGTGTGAACTGAGTCGACCCTCTGCCTTTACAACTTTGTCATAGGGATGAACTTAAAGAGTTTACATTACAAAAACAGAATCCTCTAGTGTCTCCTGGGACAAGGTTTGCAGAAAAGAAACTTTCTCACTGCTTCAATTATTTTGTACTCCCTTTTTTCTAAGATGGCAGATAAAACAGAAGCATTGATCCACTTTTATTAAACAAGGACAATACACACTATCAGCATGATTAAAATGTAAATGTGCCCACGGCTGACCAGTTTCCCTCCGCAGCCTCTGGGCTCAAAGGGAAGTGGGATTTAGACGAGACAGGGCGGAGACTCTTCCCATCCTCGCTCCAGCGTCCTCGAGCCTGTGACCCAAAAATCAAATGAGGATGTTCCACTCCCTTAAATGTGTTGCAGAAGAAGAGAGGAGGCGCAGCCGTGTCCTATGAGGAAGACTTTTACCAGAACCTCTTTTTATGTGGAATGGTCACTGCTGCTTATTTTATGGCAGGGAGGCGGGCGGCTGCCTGTGGAAACTTATTCTACTGAATTTCTTCCATTTTTTGATTGGGAAAATATGATAGTCTGTTAATCAATACAGTAGATTGACAGGAAAAACACCACTGACCAATGAATTAATCAGTTAAAAATGCCAAACATTCCCTTGTTCCAGCCTCTCAGTTGTAGGTTTTATTGCTTTCATTTATCTTATGCGATAATAAACTAATTGTATTTAAGTTTATGGGCTGTAGGTCGGACAGAAAAAGCAATTTGTGCTTTAGGAAATGCAATTATGGGTATTTTTCACTCTCAGGCCAAACAATTTATTGAGAAAATAATTATCACATTAATCAATAATGAATATAATCCTCAATTGCAACTGGCGACAGGAATAAGGGCGTCATTGGCAGCTGTGACATTATTCCTGTTTTCATTAGGGGGAATGTATTAGGTGTGTGTTAGATCTGAATGATGAATGAGTATTTAAACCAACTGTGTGCTGAGGTGAGGATGTAAAGCTGGAGGTGGGGGGAGAGGAAAAGAAAAAGGGAAACGGTGATGGCTTGTATCCACCAGAGGGCGCACTCAGCCTGTCCTCAGCCTCCAGCACAGGTTTACTTCCTGCTCATAATTACAGGTTCAGGTAAAGGGATCAGTGAGAGCTAATCAAATTAATTACAGGTTCAGTGTCTGTGTGGATAATATGATTTTTTCAACTGAGTGAAATTGAAAACACATGGCTTTTAGCTGTGTTTACATGACAGTATAATTTAAACAATGTAGTGCCTGTATTAGAGGACCTGTCACTCAGTTCGAGAGTGACAGCAGGATTCATGTTTAACATGAGATGTACATTACAGTTTCTAACCTGACTCGGGACGCCTCAAACATTGTGCCAATGGTTGATTACATTTCAATAAGTTTCAAACAGACAGAATTTTGAGATTAAAATTTTCAGATTTGACAAGTCTGGGTGTGGTGGTTTTTGATCTGGTTCGATGTGTTTACTTGAAGAAAGAAGCTGTGAAATGTCCCTTGTTTCATTTTCACAAACAAAACAAAGGTTTCACAATTTATTTAATTTTTTTTTTTTTACTTTGACTTTGATGCTTCTGTATTAAGACTTTAAATATCATTGTTATCTGCAGCCACTGCACAGAACCCTTCATCTTCTTTTATTTGAAAAACTACAATATGGCTGCAACATGTTTTTTCTAAAATGACCTGTCATGTTTCCAACTTCAACATGTCAGACTGTGGGTTAATCAACATGTCATAGTTCTTCTGCCCCCCAGTGGCCAAGAAAAACAGGTAGTGCAACATCTGCATGCACAGTGTGTGACCCACACAAAATATCTGGTCACATTTTTGGAAATGAAATGTATTATATGTATTTACAGTGATTTAATTAAGTCCTTCAAGGCTTTTGTGTAGACAAATATTTGTCATATAGAAGATTTATTTAATACTCAAACCAGTCCTCAACTGAAGCAGACATTCATGCACCTATCCTGACAGCTGATAGATATTTGTGATTAACTGTGATCCACCGCATCTTAACTCAAGTGTTTGTGTTTTATTGTCATTTGAAAGGTTTCCACACTGTGAAAACTGAGTGATCTGTGCCAACAGAAGGAGGACCTCGTGTACAGAGCAGCCCATTTGTTTCCATTCATCTGGTTGTGGAGAAGGGAGACTGCATGGACATCCTTAGTTCTCTAATGTGCTGTGATGATGATGATGGTAGAAAACCTCTCCCAGTTCAGCTTCCTCTGATGAAATGACAGACTAACTGCTGATGAGTTAGTTTATTATTCTCTCTTCAGTATTCACAGGTTCAGTTTCTTATCTGCAACTTCATTTCTGCTGTTGTTGACAGGTGATGGTAGCAACACTTTTAAGAACAGAATGTGTATATATTAAACTGTGATTAAGTGATGGATCAATTCTAGCACTGTCACCACCTCCACAGGTGAAAGTATTTACCAACTGACATCAGCAAGTTTTGTTTCATTGTCAGTGTTGTTGGACATTTAAATATTTCTAGTATTTATGTTGTTGATTAAAGCTAGCTGTATATGAAGTTAAAGCTGAATTTCACTGTCATATGTAAAAAAAGAAAAAGAAAAAGAAGCAGTTTAATCAACAGTGCAACAGAATCTTTAGTAACAAGTATAATCATTATTCATCATGAGTCCTAATGTGTGAGACAGTTAATATTTATTTGCTCCAGTAACAATCTCCCTCTAAATAAGTGATGCTGTTGAAGCAGCACACTGAATTAACTATAATGGCTGAAGACTATGAAAATATGAATCTAATGTTTTAACTATTGACAATTTGTTACAGCTACAGTGGAGTCCAAAAGTCATGTGATTGTATGTCTGATATGGGGCAGAGAGTGTAATATGACAGTGGAGGTTAGGGAACCAGGAGGAGCACAAGCTGATCAGACTGAACAATGTTATGGCCACAAGTGTTACATAAAAAAATATTATATTACCATATAAGACACTGTGTCTATGTTTGGGAGAGAAAGATCTTCATGTGTGGACACTGCAGGTGGAGGTGGTGCAGGGCCTCCATCATTGCTTCAAGAGGTTGTAGTGTCGCCAAGATCCAGACCTTGGCTGGATGGAAAAAAACATTATAATAGAGAGAAATCATATCAATATCATATTGTAGAGTATACAGAGAAAAGACAACAGAAACAGCACTCTGATTAGATGATCACAGATATCTGAAAATACATTTATTCCCTCAGCTTAGTTGTAATAAACAGTTTGCTGAACCGTTTTACATGAAATAACAACAGAATAGAAACTAAATACTCAGTTTGGTGTCATTGTGCAGGTGCACATGTCATGATGGTTCTCAGCTCTCAGTGATGTTCTTTATTCTGACAGAATCATTCAACAGATGTTTTTGACTCCTGTCATCAATAATGAAATGAACTAGAGCTGAAAAATAGCCGACTAACACTGAACAAACTTAATATGAACAAAACACGACACACACGTCCGCTGCTCTGTCTTTAACAGCGCGTCCAGACACGACAGTTCACTGTAATAACGGATCGTTTAGTGACCGTGACTTACCGACATTGACAACCCGCTGTCCTTGTTAACACTAAGGTCGGTGACGTCACCTTCGCTTTGCAGAACTCATTGTAAACACGATTATAACATGTTTTCCCTCGGTCTATGGTTTTAATACAAGCGGTTACACCACACAGTTAGCTTACACACAGTAACTTCAGCTAATATTACAAGGTTTCTCCTCGTATACCTGATATTTACCAAATGTGGACATGTATGCGATTAGCTACTAAGATTATTTTAACACTGAGATATAAAGTTTATCTCGAATTATGAATGCTAACTGTGTTAGCAGCGGCTTCGTAGCGCGTATCCAGGAGCCTGCTGCGGTCCGGTAGTCGGTGTAGGCGGCCGTGCAGAGCAAAGACTCGGCGGCTGACATGATAGGCAGCTCGCCTCTGTACCGTCTTTGTGAACATTTTTGTGTAATTTGTGATTTGGTTTGAGATGCTGGTGTTGATTGTTGGGGACTGAGCTAAGTTTAAAATTCTGATTGTGCATAACACCCTTAGAAAAAGACTGTTGGACACATTAGGAACAGGGGTGCTGCTGCTTTACTTTTAAATGTCAGCTCTCAGATGTGGCCTGAACTTTAGTTTAAAATGTTAAAAAAATGAATTAACACTATCAACAGTGTGTGAAGCAGCCACAGTGATGATGTCATGATCAAGACCTTCATCTGTTGTATTTCAGAGTTATCTACTGAAATGCGCATGCTCACCAGCC